GAATAGATGCACCTGCACTGTTTTCACTAAACTCTAACTCTAAACTAACTCTAAACGTGACCCTTAGTACTACTCTCTAGCAGTGCAGTTCCTGAGAATTTGTGTTCTCCTGTGATTCTCCTGTTTGTGTTCTCTGTGATTCTATGATTCCATGAAAACAGAGTTTATGTGAATTGCCAAATGCCACTCAGTGAATCAGTGATAGTACCAGAAATGGAATCCAGAAGTTCCCAACCTGACATCCTATCCCTGTTCTGTTTTCAAGGCGAGGCTTTTGTGAGATGGGAATTAATGCCTCTGGGATTCCAATGTAAAAATCAAAGTTTTTGTGGCAGAACATATGGTATTTGAGCAAACTCACACAGGATTGTTACAGGAATGCTCTGATTGATGACATATATAATTTCCCTGCAACTCTTTTTTTTTTTTTAAATCTGTGAAAAGCTACCATTAGAGTGAGATTATTTTTTTAAGGTGTTATTGTGTGTGCATATCTTCAGAGTATAGAGAATCTACTAAGCTCAGGAAAACAGGGAGTGCGATGCAGTTTTGGATTCCGAGGCTATCACTGATTTTACATTTCTGTAATGACAACTACTGAATGAAAGTTACTGTTTAGAAATTGCAGTGAGATGGTTTCTTTATTTAGAGTTGGGTTTTTTCCATTCAGAGTGCATGATCTATCAAAGCTCTTACTAAGCTTCTGAATTACACTTAGAGAAACAATTCCTGGAGGCAAGCTTGAACTAGAAACTGTGGCATTGAGAAGAAACACAATATTGAAATTATCTGTGGTAAATTAAACTGGTTCTAAAGGTGAACCTACTGTTAACATTTATTTATTTGTGGTGAGAAAGTAGAAGGATGAGTGCTGAAGCTAACAGTATTGTATGATGTATTTTAGTTAGCAGATTATAAAGACTCAGGTAGACTTGTGGCTAGTGGGCTCATTGGTTAAGGAAATATTATTAAACTTGTCCTGTGTTACGCAGTGCCAGTCTCCTTACTAGGAGAGATCTAAATGAGTGCTGCTGATAGAAACGTCTGCCCCACCAGCGATGAATGAATCTTCAGTGGATGAATGAATGCTGTTGCAGCTTAATCTTGTGCATTATAAACATTACCTAGCAGGAAAAAATCACTCTTTTGGGAGATTTTCCTCTGTCAACTGACTATCAAAATTCAATTAGCTTATCTATTTCTTTCAAAAGAGCCTATCCCCTGAATTCATAACTGTGAACCAGAATTGCTTTAAGACGTATCTTAGAGTATGCAGGATATCTGTGCCCCTAACTTCGACATTTTAGATGCCTAAACGTAGTTGGGAAGGTTGCCTCTATATTTAGTTCTGGTCGTTTATAGGGAAATGGCTTCACGTTCTTGTTTTTGGGGTTTTCATTCCTTCTCCAGTCTTTGCCAAATGGGAGAGGGCATGATGGAAAGTAGGGCAGGGGAAGCAAAATGTGGTGTTCTGTAGAATCTAGCATTGGACATTTGTTTGAGGCAGGAAGAGATGATGTTGATGAAGGCTACATCTTTATTTGATGTAAAGTGGCAGAGCTTCAGAGAGGTTTATGCTTGAAAATGTTTAGGAAGGTGGTTTACAGTAAGACTTTATCTACTTTAGTAGTGCATCTCTGGCAGAGGCTATCTAATGGTCTAGAAGGTGTTAAATCTGTTGTGAATGTTGCTGACTGAGCCACTGAGTGTGGGAGTATTGGGACTTCTGCCAAACAAATAATTTCCTAATCTCTTAGGGTAACTGTATCTTAAATTGTACTGCGAAAGATTTGTGGTTTTTGAGTGAAACAGCATAATTTCTCAGCAGTTTCTCTGTGAATCTCAAGTTTGTTGTCTGTTGTTGCTGTTATGCATATTAATTGGGAGTTTTATTCCTGGAGCTGATAGTATTCTTGAATATGTTTTCCAATATTTGTTTGGGATGATAAGCATGAGACATACAGAGTAGTATTCATTTAAATGACAATACATTGGCATGGTTTCAAAGTGCTCTGTAGGCACGAGTGTATCAGGATAAGGTTTTTGAATGCAAGTGTTTAGGTTAGTTGTTGAGCAGATACTGCTTAATAATGAATCCCATGATGCTGACTTGGGAAATGAGGTTTTATTTTAAAAAGGGAAGAAAAAACTTTTTCTTGATACCAGTCACACTCTTCATTTCATGACTTGGGAATTGTCCTTTAGTTGATTATCCTTATTTTTTCAGGACAAGAACGAGAAATCATAGCAGATGATCTACCTCATCCATTCGGATTAACGCAATACAGTGACTACATCTACTGGACAGACTGGAATCTTCACAGCATAGAAAGAGCAGACAAGATCAGTGGGAAGAACAGGACACTTATTCAGGGCCATCTGGATTTTGTGATGGATATATTGGTCTTCCATTCTTCACGTCAGGATGGCTTGAATGATTGTGTGCAAAATAATGGCCATTGTGGTCACTTGTGCCTTGCCATACCAAATGGATTTAGGTGTGGCTGTGCTGCTCATTATACCCTGGATCCCAACAGCAGGAACTGTAGTTGTAAGCCTTTTTGTTTGCTATTATATTCTTCGGTGCTTGTGGCTCCCAGGTGCTTGTGATCACTTTCAATATACAAATGGGGAGGAATATCACAAGTCCATTTCAAAGGTTCTGGCTTTAAAGGTGATCTTTAAATATGAGGTCAGAGTATGGAGTTTTATATCAATTTTTGTGACATGAGTTAGAGCTGAAGATTTGTATTTCAAATCTTAGAAATAACAGCACTTTCAAGTCTGGTCTTTCTTGTTTTATTAGATGTGCTTTCTAGGTGATTCAGCTGTGTGATTGAAGGTTTCCCAGTCCTTACCTAAGTGTGTAGGTGGGTGGAAGAGAAATTCTAAACAAAAAATGTCTTTTTCTCTTAAGTGTTTAATAAAGTCAGCAAAAAAAAAAAAAAATATCCGATAAAACAGCCTCCTAAGTAGTCTGTGAAACATGCACATGCACTTGAAATTTATAAAATTTTGTTTTCCCCCCTGTGTGTGATATTGTGAGCTTGCCAGTTCACTGGTTGTCCAATAAGAATTTAATTTTGTAGTTAAAATAGCAGATGAATAGAAAATGGACTGATGACTTAAAAAAAAAAAAAAAACCCACAACAAAACTTTGGGGATCCTGGCACAGTAGCATATAAGGAAATTTTAACTGGATGAAAGGATGGGTTTATGAAAGGCAGGTCTTTCTTGACTAACCTGATCTCCTTCTATGACAAAAAGTGGCTCACTTAGTGGATGAGGGAAAGGCTGTGAATGTTGTTTGCCTGGACTTTAGTAAAGCCTTTGACACTGTTTCCCACAGCATTTTCCTGGAGAAACTGGCTGCTCATGGTTGGACAGGTGTACTTTTCACTGGGTGAAAAACTGACTGGATGGCCAGACCCAATGAGTTGTGGTGAATAGAGTTAAATCCAGTTGGCAGGCCGTCACAAGTGATGTTCCCCAGGGCTCAGTACTGGGGCCAGTTCTGTTTAATGTCTTTATCAGTGATCTGGACAAGGGGATCAAGTGCACCCTCAGTAAGTTTGCAGAGAACATCAAGTTGGGTGGGAGTGTTGATCTGCTTGAGGGTAGGAAGGCTCTACAGAGGGATCTGTACAGGCTGGATTGATGGGCAGAGGCCAATTGTATGAGGCTCAGTGCTGGATCCTGCACTTGGGTCACAACAACCTCATGCAACACTACAGGCTTGGAGAAGAGTGGCTGGAAAGCTGCCCGGTGGAAAAGGACCATGAGCCAGCAGTGTGCCCAGGTGGCCAAGAAGGCCAACAGCATCCTGGCTTCTGTCAGAAATACTGTGGCCAGCAGGACTAGGGAAGTGATTGTCCCTTTGTACTCAGCACTGGTGAGACCGCACCTCAAGAACTGTGTTAAGTTTTGGGCCCCAACTGCAAGAAGGACATTGAGGTGTGGGAGTGTGTGCAGAGAAGGGCAGTGAAGGTGGTGAAGGGTCCAGAGCACAAGTCTTATGAGGAGTGGCTGAGGGAACTGGGTTTGGTTAGTCTGGAGAAAAGGAGGCTGAGGGGACCTTATCGGTCTCTACCTCATTCATTTGGATTAACACAGTGCAGTGACTAGGACAAAGGAGATTGCAGCCAGGTAGGTGTCAGTCTTTTCTCCCAAGTAACAAGTGATAGGACGAGAGGAAACTACCTCAAGTTGCACCAGGGGAGGTTTAGATTGGATATTAGGAAAAATTTATTCACTGAAAAGATTATCAAGCACTGGAACAGGCCGCCCAGGCAAGTGGTTGAGTCACCATCACTGGAGGTACTTAAAAGCCATGTAGATGTGGTGCTTAGGGACATGGTTTAGTGGTGGACTTGGCAGTGTTAGGTTAGCAGGTGGAGTCAATGATCTTAAAGGTCTTGTCCAACCTAAACGATTCTATGATTCTATGATAATACAGGAAAACCTGTGACTGTGTATTGCCCACTATCACTGGTGTTACTTAACTTCCACAGGGGGAACCTAGTTGTTTTATAATATGAAAAGGAAATACTTTCTGGGTGAGGTTGTGCACATTTACCTTCCAGAAGTACACAAATAAACATTTTCAACTTAATACCAAAAATCTCCAATTATGAATTACCTTAGTTTTCATTGTGAATATAATTGTCTCGCTGGGATTTTGCCCTAAATATTCTTTGTCTTCTGTGTGAGTGTATTTTTGACAATGTGACTTGCATTTTCTTATGCAGTCCATTTTGGCTTGTTTCAGCCCCTGCCAGCTTCCTGTTGTTTAGCCAGAAATCTGCAATCAGCCGGATGATACCAGATGATCAGCAAAGTCCAGATATCATCCTGCCTATGCATGGTCTAAGGAATGTCAAGGCTATTGACTATGATCCCTTAGATAAATTAATCTACTGGGTGGATGGACGTCAGAATATTATAAAAAGAGCCAAAGATGATGGCACTCAGGCAAGTTTACATGTATATTGCTTTGTGTTGGTCTTTTTGTGTGCTTTGTACTTTATGCTTGACTTTCCCCTTCTGTCCCCTGCACCAAGGAATCATCTGTTTAAATTTTACTCTTGCAAGTGCTTAATCGTGTATATTCTATTTATATGTGAAAATTGCTGAAGGCTTTTAGGACTGTGATTTTAGTTTGTACACAAAGAAGTGTAATAGTACATTGTATGTATCTGAAACTATAAGCCTTGAATTGTAAACTTTAGTTCAGGATAGGCACTGAAGTAAGGCAGATTTATTATTTATACTCAGGACAGATAAACTGTATTCTAAAATCAATATTGTGCATGCCAGTTGTGTGATAATATTGTTATCATTGTAAAGCTAAGCTCTCTCAAAATGAAAACTCTCAGCTATCCAAGCTGTAGTGAAACCCGAACTGAATGCAGAGTTGATTGCTGTGCCAGATAGGGATAGGCTTATCCGCATGCTTAATTGCTTTACTGAGTTGGGGACATTATTCTTTTGCACTAGTTATTCACATAACAGTGGAAGGAAGTGTACTGTTCTTCCAGGCAGTGTTATGTGTTAACATAGCTTAACTCCCAGGTCAAGATAACAAATTCTTTAATAACTATGGTTTGAATAAGAATATAAAATTAAATGGAAAAATGGGCATTTTCCTAGTTCTTGGGCAGCCATATCTAAGCAATATTACATTATATCAATGTAATATAATGAAATGGACTGGTCTCTTCATGCATATAGAGACTCAGCAGTTTTATGGTTTCCTGTAAAGGAAGAGATAACAATTTTATTTTTGGCCTTTTCTTTTAAGATTGGGAGGAGTTATGTTGAGATGAGCAGCTAGTTGGGTTGCAGATGAATTTTGAAGAAGTTTTGCTCTTACTTTTTGGGATTATGCGAGGTGCTAATTGTTGTAGTCTAGCTTCTCTTTGGTACTTGCTAGGTGCAAATTGCAATGGAAATTCATTTGCTCTGTGTTTTCCTCTACCTTGGTCACACAGCTTTGAAGATGCAGATCCCCTGCAAATTTTGACTTTCCAATTTTCACTAACTGTATTTACTTAATTTTTCTAAATCGTGCTGTTTGCAGATGATGCATATGCATTTCATACCTGGTAATGTTACCTTTGATTTCAGGAAAAGAATGATTTCTTTTTATTTCTAGGCACGCTGTCAAGACAAAGTAGAGATAAAGTTTTAAATAAGCAGAGCTGTAGCCATTTGACATGTAAGCAAACAGAAGCAAGTTTCATTAAAAGATTTTATTTTTTAAGAGAGGCCAGGACCTAAAGAAAACCAATATCTACTACACTACAAATAAAGTAAGGAAACTTTGGCAAGAGATACAGATCTGTTCAGCTGACTGTATAACAGTACGGGTCTGGCCAGAAGGCTGCCTTGTTTCTTGCATTGTTTCTTTCAAGATTGTTCCATGCATAAACATTCACTATTGTTTTCTTCCATCTCCTGCTAATTAATTCTATTTATAGGAGGCCCCACAACTGCTTTCTGGGGAGTTCTGCATAATCTTACAGATTTTTGTCCAGATGTTTTTCCTCTAATCCACAGTTTGAATCAAATCTTTTTTTGTCAAGCTTTATTGCATTTCTTGTATTTGTTGTTTCCTTGTGGGTGGTTTTAGGTGTTTCTGGACCATCAGGTAGGTAAACCATGCTTTCTGTGCAATCAGTGTTCTTCAGTCAATATCAGAATAATTACTGGAAATTGTTCCCTGTATGTTGTCCTGCAGCCTTTCACTGTCATGAGTACTCCAAACCAAAGCCAGAACCCAGAGAAGCAGCCACATGACCTCAGCATCGACATATACAGCCATACCTTGTACTGGACCTGTGAGGCCACAAATTCAGTCAATGTCCACAGGCTGAATGGAGAGTCAATTGGGATGGTGCTGCGAGGGGATCACGACAAGCCCAGAGCCATTGTAGTGAACGCAGAGCGAGGGTGAGATTCCTTTCTGTACCTTGTACAGAGCACTCTTGCAATGTATGTCAGCTGTGTGTGTAAATGTTGTGTTGCATCTGTATATTTTGAAAAGGAGAATTTTTACATATTTAATTGTTCAGAATGTAGTTGACTGTCTGATTCTGGCTTTTAAAGGTATTCAGCTTTCTCTTCCTGTTCACTCTTTGCTGCCTCCTCTGGTGTGCCAACTTAGACATTCACACAGCCATGTGGTTGGTTATAGTTAGGAAAGCAGGTGGGGAAAGCAACGCAAAACCACCTTATCCTATTTGCTGCATGAGTGTGCAGCCTCGCCACCTAAGAGGAAAAACAGGAGAGTTTACACTGTGTTTATATCAGCTGAGGATCTGGCTCATAAATGTTTGGTCATCGTAGAACAAATGTGTCCAGGAAAAAAATGGAATCTCTCGTATCATAGAGCTATTCCTGCTAATATAATAGTATAAAGTTAAATAAACAAACCCTTTATGTTCTATATATTTTTAAGTTAGTTCTGCCTTGATGTGTATCTCGAAAACATCCGAAATTAATTAAAACAGGTAGGATACACTAGAGTGATTTCCCACAGGAAGAAAATAGGTTATTTTGCTACAAAGCAGTTTTGGTTAGATTCAGCAGGCCTCATCTCCACTTCAGGTGGTTAGTAGCTTCATACTTGGAGGTCAAAGATGGTCCTTTACTGTTCTTTTTAAAAAGTTAGATGCTTAAATCCCAACTTACTACTTACCATGTGCTTGACAGATGTTGAATGACAATATTTCATAACTGTGTGGATACAGTAGTACCCAGACACTCTATCTGGAGCATTTATGGGATTGGTGTTTTATACAACACTCAGTGTACTCTGTACAGTTCAAAAACTGGTGTGAGGAGAGGGGGGTTAGAGGAAAGATTCTAATCTTATTAGGACTAAGTCACTTGGACATAGTTTGTATTTATAAAAGCTTATCTGCTTTCTCCATTAAAATGGGAGTTTGGGTGTCTTGATCTCTAAAACTCAACTTTTCTAGTCAGGTTTTCAAATGATTTAAAGATAAATCTGTTTTAAAATTAAAGGAGGAAAAGATGGGGGAGAGACTATGCTGAACACTGTGACTACCTGGGAGAGCTGAATGACTGACCTGTGTACTGAACTTCTGCCATAGTTCCAGAACTCCTTCCCTCCACCTCTTCCATGGCTTCATGTTCTGACTGCTGCCTCTCTTCCTTGTGCCATCATGAAATGCTATGCAGCAATGTAGCCCACTGTATTAGGGAGTTTGCTCATGTTATCAACCACTGAAAAAATGGTGGACTTTTCTCTCATGGAGTTCTCAGTTCATCATGTGGGTGCACAAGCCCTTTTTTACCTATGCAGGGGAAGAGCAGAGATTGCTTCCGTTTGAACTGGTTTAGGCAGAAATAAACAATTCATAGAAGTAAGACATCAGGAACATGCCATCCTCAATTGTTCTTCCTTCTGTTATCTTTGCTCCTCTCAAGTTTGGTAGGAACTTCTACTTGATGAGAAGGAAGGCAACCCAGAAGGAGAGGAGATGACAGTTAATGTTTTTTGACAGAAAGAGCTGCCGGCTTTGATTCACAGATGGAGACAGCTTGACCCAAGGATGGTTGCAGAAAGTCTGTGCTAGTCTCTCATAACCCCCACCTCTGCTGCAGGAACAGTGCTGACAGCACAGCAGTGCCAAGTGTTGAGGCATTTTATGGCTTGTTGTATTAAGGACAAATGCTATTAATTTCAGGCTATCTCAATATTCCAGTTAGTAAATGTTTGGCATTCTGCAGCTGACAGATCTGGATATTTGCAGCTGGGAGCTACAGTCACTGCAGTCATCCCTGTGTAAACCATTCCCATTTACAATAAAGAATCTGTGTGCTAAGGTGAGTTGCCTCCTTTCTGAAGCTGTGAGTTAAGCGGCTGCTGTCTTTGTTCTCAGGTACATGTACTTCACCAACATGCAAGAGCGAGCTCCCAAGATTGAGCGTGCAGCCCTTGATGGCACAGAGCGGGAAGTGCTTTTTACAACTGGGTTGATCCGACCAGTAGCACTGGTGATTGACAACAAACTTGGAAAGCTTTTCTGGGTGGATGCAGATCTGAAGCGCATTGAGAGTTGTGATTTGTCAGGTATGTGGTATGCAGTTAAACATTTGAAGTAGAGTGTGTGTATGTATAGCACATCATTCCCTCTTGGATGCTGACTCCAGTAACTTCTATCTCCACTGTTGCCAGTTCTTGCCTGTCATGTTACAGGTTGGAAGATGGACTGTGTGCTTGCATGGTACAGCATAAAACGCAGAAGAGTGTGTTTATTATTTATTGTTTTAGATCTAAGTCTTGAATGAATAAGACCTGACAAAAGGACTCAGGTAAACTGATAAATTAATAAATCAGCAGCTAGGCCATCACATGCAGGTACTTGTATCCTGTGATTGCAGTTTCCTTTGTACACATTCATCCTTTTTGTGACATTAGTACTCCATGTAAGCATATGTTTGCATACTGGATATATATTTTAATCCAATTCTTTGGATCTTTTTACAGGGAAAACTAAACATTCTCTGGTTAATATTGAACCAAAGCTTTTAGTGTATATTTATTTGATGGGGTCACAACTAAAGAATCAAATCCTATAGGTAAGATAAAAGCAGGGGTAAGCTACAGGATAAAAGAAAACAATGTTTATTAACTAGAGGATACATATCACGTAACCAGAAAACTATGGTTGTATTTGATCCAGCTGAGCTCACTGTAATTTGATTCACTGAACTGTTGATTTTTAAATGAGTTAACAGCATATTTTTATTTTAAAATATTTTGCAGTCTTGTATCACAACTTCAGAAAAAATTGACAACCAAGGTTATGTTGGGTTGAATTAGTTCCTCTAAAAAGTATTTTCTGAGCAAAACACTTTAAAATGGGCATATATTAGCAAAAGGGGTTTAGTGTAAACTGAGGCTGCTGAAGAAATTGGACTGAAATTGTGTATAGCATCCTTCATGCCAATTACACTGGTCTAGACAACCTTATTCCCTCATATGCTTGCTGAGATGACATGGTTATGGAGGTTTCTGAAGCTTGCGCTACACCTTAATTAACAGCATCCTGTTAAATCATGGAATAGCCTCACATGTCTCATGCTTAACTTTCAGAGGGGGATGAAGGACCTATAAACCTGTCTAAGTTTTCTTTACGAGGTTCTTGAATTTTTCAGTTGGAGTTGTGGATGCTTTTTAGACATTCATAAACCATTTCAAATAACTTGACTGCCACACCAGTAGTGTTTTATATTATTGTTGGAGTGACTGGAAAACCTATAAAATTGCTGTGGTGAAAACATGCTTTGTTTTAAATTATACTTTAAATAGAGGAATTGTGTGTCCTTCCTGCTTAACATTCTTTGCATTTAACTATTGATTTCCATCTTGAAAAGACTATACATCTGTTTGATTCCCAGATCAGTGCTATAGGTGCTTTTGCCTCTCTTTTTATTATTCATTAATAATTTGGACTGTCATTTACTCAGGATCAAATCCAATGTAATTGTAGTATAGATTAATCACCTTATCCAGTGCTATCTTCAGCAGCTTCCCAAACCACCAATGTCATTTTTTTGTAGATGAGGGAGAAAAAAGATGATGCTTGTGTACACCCCCAAAAACTATTAAATATAGCCTGCTTCAGGCCTGGATTTAGGAGGCTGTTCAAGTAGGCTAGGATTCTAGTGGGACTGCTAGCTTGCAGGTATCACTGACACCTCATGTATTCATGATTTCAGGATGCCTTCAGGTTATCCTTCAGGAAACCAGCTTGCCTTTTATTTCTAAAAGAAAGAGCAATTTTGCATTTAAAAAAATCATGAAGGCAGAAGTTTTCTTTATATTGAGTTGAAATTAGGCTTTTCTGTTCTTGTGGTATCTTGAATCCAGCTGAAAATTGTGCGTTTGGGTCAAAATGTGAGGCTTAGTCTGGCAAAAGGACAGTTGTCTTCAAAAATCCAATGGCACTGAAGTTCATAGGAGCAAAGGGTGCTCAGCAGGTTGCAGGGCAAATGAACAAAGTGTCCTGTGCTTTGTTGACTGAGAATCTTATGGCAAAATGTTTCCTAGTATTTCTAAATGTTAAGACCTGTTTAGGAGAACACAAATTCTCAGGAACTGCACTGCTAGAGAGTAGTACTAAGGGTCACTTTTAGAGCCCATTTAGTGAAAACAGTGCAGGTGCATCTATTC